AAATATGGTAATTACAGTCTTGTAAAGCCACTAGCACGCGCAGCGTTTCGGGCAGGTCCTTAATCTAAGAAAATTTTAAGGAGGTAAATACTTGCAAAATTTATAGACAAAAAAATGATAACAGATTACATGAAATGAAAAAAAAAGAAGGCGAGAGAAAATTGTAGGTGCAGTATATTAAAGCACATAGGTAGCTAAGATTGATTGCAATGACAGCTTGAATGGTAGTTGACAACAAATTGGTAGGCACAATACAGCAGAAACAATATAAGATTGATTGCAATGACAGCTTGAATGGTAGTTGACAAAAATTGGTAGTCACAATACAGCATATGGCTAGCACATAAAAGAAGACCGCAATGAACACAAAGGTTGTTTGATATTACATAAAAATTAGGAGATTGGGTAACACTAGGTACAGAGCAAATTTAAAGCTCAGTGTAGGAAACTAAGAAGATGAAGTTAGGTACATTTTGGTTTTGCTTTTAAATAAGGCAAAAGTTTTACAGTTTTTCAATTCACTAGGGAGCGAGTTCCATAGACTAGGTCCCTTAATTTGCATAGAGCGTTTACACAGATTAAGTTTGACCCTGGGGATATCAAAGAGATATTTATTTCTGGTGTGGTGATAATGGGTCCTATTACATCTGTCCAGGGAGAGTTTCAGAGCATGGTTTGCATTTAAGAACAGGGTTTTGTAAATGTAGTTGACACAAGAGAATGTGTGGAGGGAGTTAATATTTAGCAAGTTTAGGGATTTAAACAAGGGAGCTGAGTGTTGTCTGAAAGCAGAGTTAGTTATTATTCTAATAGCAGATTTTTGCTGTGTGATGATGGGCTTAAGGTGGTTTGCAGTGGTAGACCCCCCATGCACAGATACCATAATTAAGATAGGGGTAGATTAGTGCATAATATAGTGAGAGGAGAGCAGAGTTAGGAACATAATATCTGATTTTGGAGAGTATACCAACTCATAAGGTTCCTCATATTAGATATCACAACCACAACCTCCAGCACTACTGGTGCTGGAAGCATATCGCCTTTTACAAAACTGGCACTAAGAGGGACATATTGCAACTGGTAATAAAATGGACCTAATATATTCCAAGTAATGACAGACTCTCCACAACACTGGTGATGACAGACTCTCCACAACACTGGTGGTGACAGGGACCCCCCCCCACAACACTGGTGGTGACAGGGACCCCCCTACAACACTGGTGGTGACAGGGACCCCCCTACAACACTGGTGGTGACAGGGACCCCCCCTACAACACTGGTGGTGACAGGGACCCCCCCTACAACACTGGTGGTGACAGGGACCCCCCCTACAACACTGGTGGTGACAGGGACCCCCCCTACAACACTGGTGGTGACAGGGACCCCCCTACAACACTGGTGGTGACAGGGACCCCCCTACAACACTGGTGGTGACAGGGACCCCCCTACAACACTGGTGGTGACAGGGACCCCCCTACAACACTGGTGGTGACAGGGACCCCCCACAACACTGGTGGTGGGGTAAAAAAATTCTTGGTAATCAATTACTTGTTGCAAGGGATCAGGAAGAGGAAAATTTTTGTAACGGGGAAATCATGGCTTCAGAGTGCAAAAGTCATGACTGAAATTATATTCTATGATATGGTTACCAAGGGTTATATTCTAAGATAAGGTTTTTGATTTGCCTATCTTTCTGGGTGCCTTACTTTAAATGTAAGTTTTCATAGACCATCGCTCCCTGCTCCTCTCTGAGGGGGGAGGGGCCAGGTTCTGGCTTGTGGTCCCCGGTAGACCAACTCCGCGATTGATGGCACTAAGTATTATGGCACTTAATCAGTGTGATAGCTTCAGGAAGCCGATGGGGCTCCCCCAGAAAACATGGTAAAAACATTTCCAGTGTGAAAAAATACAATACATTCAATACGCAGTGTATAATTTCAGGCGCCTACACATTCAAGATATTAACCTTCAGTGGATTACACAATGTCAATATCTTGAAGTATGGACAGATTATAAATTGACATTCAACAAGCAAATACAATATCTGAAGGAGAAAGCAAAATCATGATTGAATATAATAAGAGCGATCAGAGGGCCCTGTCTATGAGCGAGACACAAAGTGTAAAGAATGTTTTACATACATTAATAAAAAAAAAAAAAAAACTGCACCTGAATAGAGAATGAGGCTCCCTGACTCGACTCCCAGAGGCCAATGCCACTAGTTTGATTAAGTCATACTCTTAGAATATCAAAAAGGTATTTGTTTCTGGTGTTATGCTCATGGGTTCTGTTACAACCTTCAATGAAGCTTTTAAGGTCAGGATTGGCATTACAGTTCAGCATTTTATTTATATTATATTATATTATATAAATATATAAATATATTTATATATATATATTTATATATTTATAATATATATATATATATATATATATATATATATATATATATATATATATATATATATATATATATATATATATATATAAAATACACATGAGAGGATGTGCAGTGACTTAATATCTAACATACTCAGAGATTTGAGAAGGGGTACAGAGTGATGTCTGAGGGCAGAGTTGGATATTGTCCTAATAGCAGCTTTGTGTCGAGTAATTAAGGACGTAAATGATTTTGGGTAGTAGAACCCCAAGCACAGATACCATAGTTAAGATAAGGATAGATGAGAGAGTAATAGAGCGTCACCAGGGCAGGGTGAGGTACATAATATCTGATCTTAGAAAGAATGCCAACAGTTTTTGAAACTGTTTTTATGTATTTAGAATGTGTCCCTGGAAATTCAGTTTGTGGTCAATGAGAACGCCAAGGAATTTGCCGTCTATTTTGTTACAAATTTGGGCATTATTTATCCTGAGATTTATTTGATTTGAGGATTTATTGCCAAACAAAATATAGAAAGTTTTGTCAATGTTGAGGGTGAGTTTGTTCACAGTTAGCCAAAGATGGACTTTATTTAGCTCAGTATTCACTGTGACATTAAGGGCAAGGGGGTCAGGACTGGAATAAATGAAGGTTGTGTCATCAGCAAATAGAATTGGTTTGAGGTGTTGGGAGGCATTTGGAAGGTCATTAATGTAGATGAGAAAGAGGAGAGGACCAAGTATGCTACCCTGAGGAACACCAATGTTGATGGGTAGGGTGGGAGAAATTAAATTATTCACAAACATACTGGAGCCTTTCAGTTAGGTAAGATTTGAAGTATTGCAGGGAGTGACCTCTGATTCCATATTGTAATTTAAGAAAAAGGTTTTGGTGGTTGACAGTGTCAAATGCCTTACGCAGGTCCACAAATAACCCAACAGGGAACTCATTTTTATCAAGAGCTGCATGTATCAAGTTATAATAATACAAGTAGTCCTACAACCACACCAGGCAAACCCCCACCAGGCAAACAAAAAAAAAAAACACCACGCAAAAGCACAACGTCTCCAGGAGGAACAGAACCGGTTGCTATGCGTATTGTAAGACAACTAACTGCACAGTACTTTGCGTCCCAGCCAGCAACGATACTACCTCCTACCCAAGGCCAAACAGGGATAGGAAAAAACTCCAGCTGACCCCAAAGGCGGGCAATCACCAAGCAGCAAAAGAACCCTGCGGCAATAGTTCCCAAACAGTTTGTGGAAGGTAACCCCACACTGCAAGGTCAGTACTTACAGGGCACCAAGGGAAGGTGACCCTAAGCTCAAGCAGCCCCAGTACTTCTGGAATTACACCTGGCTCACACACCACCACATCACAGCACACCACACCACCACAAGGAAACAGCACTGCTCAACGATTAGAGCCAAAGTTGATCGACCTCCACCAACACAACAGCCTCAGAACTGGGGTTGGGTAACTGGCATGGAAGGTCTGGGACCCCCCCCTCTTCTCCTCCAGGGGAGGGGGAAGCTGCACAGACAGTATTCACCTAGTTGTGCTTGTGGGGGTTGAGCTCTGCTCTTTTGGCCCGCCTCTCAACTGTCAATCAACTGTTACTAACTACTACTACTATTTTTTCCCACACCACACACCCCAGGAAGCAGCCCGTGACAGCTGACTAACTCCCAGGTACCTATTTACTGCTAGGTAACAGGGGCATTAGGGTGAAAGAAACTGCTCACTCTTTCTCGCCAGCGCCCAGAATCGAACCCGGGGCCACAGGATCACGCCTCCAGCGTGCCGTTCATTCAGCCACCGGCCCACACTGCGGCCTCAGCCACAGTGGGACAGCAGCAGTGGTGATGTCATGCTTGTTTGCTTGTTTTCTGACTGGAGAGTTCTGCTTGCTCTTTCGGCTTTCAGTTTTCAATTTTTAACCAGCTGTAGATTGTTTTGAGATTCCTATTTTTCTGGGTGCCTGACCTGGTAGATGGCAGACAGACTGCTTTCAACTACATTGGGGTATCTACAGGCCATTGCTCCTCGTGCCTATCTGAAGAGGCCAGGTTCTGGCTCGTGGTCCTCGGTAGTCTAAGAACTCGATCAATTGACTTTTGCCATGGTCTAATATATACATATCAGCCCAGTATAGTTCTGAGGAGCCAGAGGGGCTCTACAGAAAAGCACAAAAACAATGAAATTCTTCACAGAGAATTCAAGCGTAGTTATCACTAGGTGGGAGACACTGGTAAACCAAAGTGCACCATGTGCTCAGTTGGCCCATACGTGTATCAACAAACTCAAGCACCGAGGCAAACTTTAGTACAGATTTGAATTTTTTTAAGAAATTGAGCTCAAGAAACGAAAATTTTGAAAACGGGCACTCGAAAACCATGGTTCCACTGTACTTATACTATACTTATATTCTCCCAAAATGAGCAACTGCTACACAGTTTAATCTTTGGTAGTCAGGATATTTAATAAATCTGTTAGTAATCGTAATCACCTTCAACAACTATTACTATACAGTACTATTAGAAGGGCATGTGTCCAATATTATTTTTGACAAATCAATTTTTCTTCTGACCAGGTGTTTGGGAAGTATTTAAACGTAAGATTTGATTCAGATTTCTTAGAAATGTACATGAGAACAACCCATTTTGGTCCAATCATTTCTACAGATGGAAAACTTTCATGTAGTAGAGACATTTAACAATATGGAATTAGTAGGGACCTGTAATGCTGATTGTGGTTAAGGTCCAGTAACACTGGTTGTGATAAGGGCCCTGTAACAACAATGGTTGTGGTAGGTTCCTGCAATAGTCCTGATTATGGTAAGGACTTATGATACTGCTGGTTGTGGTAAGGATCGTTGGGAAATTTAATAAATAGAAGATAAATATTGTTGCTGCAGTAACTTGCCTCTGGGCACCCTCACACTTTAGTACATCATACCAGCATGAGCATGGGAGCGGAACAGGTAAAAATTTGGGTTGGAGGAGAGGGCGAAGTGTGGTACTGGTGGGTCTATACTCGTATAGACACCATCATCTACACGGCTCATGGCACCTGCAATACAGATATTAAATAGAAAGATTGTTCCATTTTTATTATTATTATTATTATTATTATTATTATTATTATTATTATTATTATTATTATAAGCAACTGTATTTGTCTTATGTTGTGCAGGTTTACAAATTAACTGAAGAATTAGGTGCTCATTTTTCTTTAACGTTTAAAGTTTAATATATGTCAAGGAAACCGTCTACACTTGGTCACCCCTCCCCACCCCCCACCCCTCAATAATGGGGAATTACTATTAGGAACAAGAAATTAAATATAAAATAGCTAGAAAAGAAATATGGATTCAAAAAATATTTGCAATTGCACAAGAACAAGTGAATAATAAATTCTTAACAGATGTAATAGAACCCATAATCACCACACCAGAAATAAATATATCTTTGATATCCCCAGAGTCAAACTTAATCATTGTAAACACTATGCAAATAAAGGGACCCAGTTTATGGAACTCGCTCCTTAACAAATTGAAAAGCTGTCCAACTTTTGCCTTATTCAAAAATAAAACCAAAAAGTACCTAATTTCATCTTCATAGTTTCCTACCTTGTGCTTTAAACTCGTACTGTATCTAGTGCTACCCAATCCCCCAATATATGTACCTAAACATACAACTTTACCACTGTAGTCATTGCTATCATCTTATATCATGGTTGTTACATTGAATGCATATTTCACTGCATTAAACCTTAAAATAATCCTCAAATTATGCTACAATATACCTGCCGATAACCCTCAAATTTTACTTTAATGTACCTACTAAGCTTTGTCAAATTTTCTTACAAAGTTCCTGTTAACATTTCTTCAGTTTTGCTAGAAATTACCTACATAAAATTATCTGTTCGACTAAAGTCTGACTTGACATACATAATAAAAATAATATGTATTTAGGGAAAAGAACATACATACAAAATGAGTTACAAGAAGTGTTTTGGATTTCTAGATAGAACAAGTCTATACTATGTCTAAAGCCACTAATATGCACAGGGTTTTGGGCATGATTTATTTATTTATTTATTTATATATATACACACAAGAAGGTACATTGGGTTTATGAGAGCACATAGCATTGATGTTTTTACATTCTTGCACGCATGGCATTTTGGGCAGGTCCTTAAACCTTTAAACATCAAGGTAATTAGTACCACATTCACATCATCTAACAAGTTCACAACTCCATAACACAAGAAGATAACTTAATTGCAGAATTTAAAACCTACTCTTTCCACCTTGGTGTTCTGGTTAGGGTGCTTCCTATACCAATACCAAACTAGACTGAGAACTTCTGAATTATTTCACAGTAATTGTCATTAGTTTCTCTGTCAAATTCAGTATCAGAAATATTAGTACTGGGTCATGTTACCAAGGAATGTCAAGTCACAGAGGCTTATCAGTAAATAGCTTATAACTGTCAGTAATAATAGTGTCAGCAGTGGTTGGTTGAAATCATGCAAAAGTTTGAATTATGTCAGTAATAATGGTATAAGTAGTGGTTAAAATGCACTGGTTTCTAGGTAGTGTCAGCATTAATGGTGTCAGCAGAAGTCCCAGGAGACTGTGAAAAAGCATGAGAATACCTTGTGAGTAGTTGTGATAATAGTGGAGTGCAGGCCAATAGTATGGTGCAGGTGGTGGGGGCTGGGGGTAGGGAAGGGGAAGAAATGACCCATATCTGTAGTGACCTGAAACATACATGCCACCACTGGAATGAGTTGCAGTGCAGATAGATATAATGCTTTGACTGAAGTTTCACAATGCCATTAACTACATATACTGTACTGCAAAAATTGAAGGTTCACTAGCTTATGAGGTCCACTTAATTCAATAATGAGATGGTTTTCCTTGGTTGCTTAAATCTCTTTCTAAATTTTATGCAAATTAAATTTACCTTTTGAATGAACTGCGAGTACAATAGTGACTCTAAAAGCCATTTATTATTTAAGGAATGAAAAATATAAACAAATGTTGACTAACAAAATGCCTCCTAGTTTTTCGGTAGCACCCCAGTAGCTCCCTGGAGCTATCTTGCCGAGATGGCACTCATTACTGGTTCACATCTGTCACAGGAATCCTGCTGGGCCTACCAGAGTATGAGCCAGAACCTTGTTTCCTCAGAGGTGCAGAAAGCAGGGAATTATTAACACTACCCTCACTGGAAAAGCATCCAGAAAGTCAGCAAAGCTTTACAGACAACTGCAAGGTTCATAGAAAATGCAGCATGGAAACTGCTAAATGAATCCATCAATTATTCATTTAAAAAAAGTGGTTCACTCAAAACTAGCTTGAACCCATTCTTTGCTGCTTAGCTTGTTCCATAGCTTCTTTTCTGTGCTGTGCGCACCCTGTTCTGGTCCTCTCAGCTCTCAGCTGGAGAGGTTGTGAGGTCATGAAGCTTGTAAGCCATACCCTAGAGTACGAACTCATGAAACCCGTCCTTACTTTCTTATTCACATTATAGGTACGTTACTTTAAAACCAGGGTTTGTAGAACCCATATGCAATTATAAACACTTCAGACAAGAATGACCATGTGGGACTGGTAACAATTTTGCATTGGCGGGACTCAAGAAACAATCAAAGTGGCTGCATTACATTTATTTAACCACAGGAAAAGGGACAATATACACAAGGAAATATCTCACTCACCAGATTAACAAATACAGTTTTCTTCACTTGGATAAAAATGGAGGTCAGTAGCCTCACACAGTGAGGCGAGTACCTCACAAGCACACACCACACAACCTGTGTGTGTGGAGTCTCAGCCCTCTCTCTCACATGGAGAGCTGGAATGCTCCTCTCATGGAAACGTGCGGGAAAACTTTAAACAGAGAATCATACTCATTTACTCTTACATACTCTCAAACTCAAATGAAACGTAAAAATTAATACAAATATAACGAACTAATATTCTAGCCAAGAGAAACATTACAATAACAACCACAAAAGCTAAACTTTATATACCAGTTTCACAAGTTTGTACTCTAGGGTACGGCTTACAAGCTTCGTGACCTTACACAGCAACTTGGGGATCCCGCGAACTTTAGTTCCTGGTAAACTCATGCAAGCCTTACCCGATGGTGCCATTAGCAACCATTATTTTTCCCTTATAATTTACTAGCCATTGAGTGTATGGGTCATTTTAAAGTAAATATTAGAACTAGATTGGGATATTCCTTGTTCACTTTGCAATATTCATTAACTGTATTTGGTGGAATGTGCTACAACCTATTCTCATGAGACATAAATTTGGCAGCGCTAAATCTGGTGCAATTATTTTTGTTTTGGGGATATTGACGATTCATAGTGCATTATCATTTATCTACACATGTGGAGGGGGCATATACTGCGGGATAATGTGCTCACTTATAGGATGACGAAGTTCTGTGTCTCAAAATGGCGCACATGTGGGCCTACTCGTTCATCTTGGTGGGAGATGTGACACGACACACACACACACACACACACACACACACACACACACACAACACCCAGCCAGTGGCATCGTTCCTGGGCATGCTAGCCTCGCCCCAGGCCATCCATCCTCTGTGGTGGCTTACACCTGTTGTCTCCACATTTACTGAGACTTATCTGATTAAATCCCACATCTGTTGTTCCTGTGTATGCAGTCATCCACATCTGCAGAGGCTGTGCCTGTTTGTTGATGCACACCTATTTCTGAAACCAAGCTGTTGGCCTATACTGTACAGTACCTGTTAAGCTGTCTGCCTACACCTGTTCCTGAACCAGTTCTGCCTACACCTGATGAGCTCTTTGCCTACACCTGTTGAAGCTGTCTGTACCTGTCGATGCTGCAGCAGCCTTTGTGTTACTTAGCTCTACTGATGTCTAACACCTATGTGCTGTCTTTGTCGGTTGTGAAGTGCCTTACACCAACCATGAGGTGTTCCATGCCTGCTAGGCCTCGGTTGAGGTGCCTGGCCATGTATCAAGCTGCCACTCTGCAATCCCAGCTTAGGGGGAGAGGGCCCTCACCTGGCTGCCTGGCCGCCCACAGCGGCTGGGTGGTCATTTCGCCCTCCGCCACTGGTTGCCAGAGCCTTGGTAGCAACAGATCAACAGTGGTATGCCGAAAGACCTTTGAGGAAAATTTAAGATGTGTGGTCGCATAGCTCTGTTAATGTTATGTACCCTGCCTGGTGTTCTTCCATCATAATATCATCTACTTCTACTGTATGCCTGTCCCCTGTTAGGAGTGATGTGAAGACCCCTAATGGTTGTGATACGTGTTGCAACATGGCATGTATGTTGCGCAAGATTCAGTATGGTTGTCACGCATAATGAATCTTGCCGTCAAAGGGTCGTTAGAATTTGTTTTGACTTTGCTTGCCTAGAGGAAAATATGGCCCAGTATAACATCCAATGATGCAAATGTTTTTTTTTGTTTTTTTGTTTTGTTTTTTTGTAAAGAAGAGGAGGAAGTTGCTGGATGGAAGTGCACTTGATAGCCAATTGACTTTATTGCTTCAGTTTTTTGTTATCCAGTAATGGGAAAATATACAAGCTTTGCTACAGTGAAATGTAAGAAAAGTTGGTACTAGGTAGCAAATGTTTCCAGCAAAAGTATCGAAATGTGAAGTTTTGAGTAACATTAAACAGTTACTAATACAGTACACTGTACTATGATTATTACGTATGTGTTTCTTGATATTGAAAATTTTCTTTGAAAATCATTTAATTTATATTTTTGAGACATTTAGAGCAGTGCACTGAAGGGAATGACCTCTGACTCCATAGTGTTGGAGTTTAAGTAGAAGGTTATTGTGGTTATAGTAGTCTGGGTTTCAAATAAGGGTTTCAAGCTTTCCTGACTGTTTGTACAAGTAGCATGCTGCCATCTAGTAGCAGTTACTGAGTAGTGAGTAATGGTCTATTTAATAGCTAGCAGAGTTGGTTACAGTGAGGAAGCAGGCTCAGATTGGATGCACCAGAAGAGGTGTAAACCAAGTGTGCTATTTGAACAGCAATCCATTGTATGGTAACTGGGTAGAGAACAAAAGAATAGCTTCCTTTATCATCCTAACACAATCAAAGCTTATCCAATTCTTTACTTAATTTCTGTAAGATTGTATAACAAAGGAGAGGATGAGAAAATATGAGTTATAATGACTACAAGTTGAGCTATGTGCAGTCCATGAAAAAACTTTGCTTATACAATGAATGAATTGTTGAAAAACGGGTCATACAGATGACTGTGCCATGTGTGCAATGAAAGCATTATGTGGACTAGACAGATTCTGAATGGAGGTAATAGCTACCACTAACTATTCAACAGCAAGAGCAGTAACTAATGATGAGAGAGATGAAGGCCACTTTGTGTGTGATCCAATTTCCACAAAAACAAATGTACTATTGAAATACGCAACAGACTGAATCATGTTGTGGTTGGTAGGACACTGAACCTTGCCTACCTTGTGATGACTGTTACCACCTAGATGGTACAGAGGCTGAAAGACATTATTGTATTTAGTATACCTGGTATTCTAGTTTTGTATATGGAGGTGGTTGGAGCAAGCAGGTCCTTAGGAGGCTTGATGGGCTTGAAGAGGAAGAAGGAGGGGGAGTAGCGTGCACCACCAGAAATGGTAGATAGCTGATCATCTTGATCCTCATGGAACAATCCTTCCTTCCCAACTGCCGCTAGTTGCCGTCCCTGCTGATTCATATAAATCAGTACTAAATGTACATACCTGAATGTACTAAACTGTGTTTTATGGGGATTGAGGTACAGCTCATTAACCTATTGTGTGTATATGGGTATGATTACCTGAATGTTACCCGAGGGCCACCATTTCTCTAATAGTCTTAACAGGAACAGGAAGCCATCAGCTTGTCAAAATTCCTCCACATTGTTCCTGAAGATTTTTTCCAACTGGAATTTGAACAGAGTAATGTCTTGGCATTTATGGCTTTGGTAGGTAGGCAGTCCCTTGATTAAAAATGCTATGAGTGAAAAAGCATCCGTTTCCAGCCCTATATTTTGTAGCTTTATCTTAAAGCTGTTGGCCCTTGTATGTATGCATGATACAGTATATGATTGGGTGATTGCATGGTTCAGTGTACTGTATACCATCAATGAATGTATTTACCTACTTAGGTACTACTTACCAAAAGAACAAAAAGTTAAACTTCAGCTCTTGGGCCAGTGCTTTCTAGCTAACAGTCATATTATTACTAATACTTAATAAAAATAATATTAAATATGTATTATTATTACTTATTATATTAATACTCTACTTAATATATATTATTATATAATATTTAATACATATTATTATTAATGCTTAAAGGAAATAACAAGAAACACGAATATGAAAAAACCAGCGTTGAATGTAATGCAACGTTATTTTCTAGGCGAGCCCCAGTGGCTTCCTGGAGCTATCGGGATAATATGCGAATCATTAGACCGGGGCATTAGGCAATGGAGTTCAACCTACCGCAGACCACGAGCCAGAACCCAGCCCCCTCAGAGAGGCATAGGGAGCAATGACCCTGGAAAATCCCCCCGTGGTTGGGCGGTGTTCCTTATTTGCTACAGACCGGGGTTAGGCACCCACAAAAAGTAGGCATAACAAAACAGACATCACATAGTAAGAAAACTGCAACCAAAAACCAAGCAGAGGCAGAACTCATTCCAATCCCAAAGAAACAAGCAAATCGACACATACCCCACTTTAGCGAACCAGAGTTCGTCGAAATGGGTGAGTAAATCCAGCCTGAAAAGTGTGTGTCCTAACCGGAGATTCGCCGAATCAAGCTCGCACTGTACATATATACATACGTGCGAACAAGCCTGAATGGTCCCCAGGCATATAAGCAACTGAAAATGCCACACCCCAGAAGTGACTCAAACCCATACTGCCAGGAGCAGTGTGCAACTGGTGTACAGGAGACCTTAACCACTCGACCATCAGTGACCGTACAAAAAATGATAGTAGCCGAGGCTATTTGCCCATCGTCCCGACGGCACTTTGATGGTCTTTGCACTTTTTCCAGTTTGTTGATGTGCTTCTCAAGATATGGGCACCACACAACCGCTGCATATTCTAGCTTTGGCCTAACAAAAGTCGTGAACAATTTCTTTAGTATTTCACCATCCATGTATTTAAAAGCAATTCTGAAGTTAGAAAGCGTGGCATAGGCTCCTCGCACAATGTTCTTTATGTGGTCCTCAGGTGATAGTTTTCTATCTAGAACCACCCCTAGATCTCTTTCTTTATCAGAATTCTTTAAAGATTTCTCACATAATTTATAGGTTGTGTGGGGTCTATGTTCTCCTATTCCACATTCCATGTATATATATAAATAAATAAATAAATAAATAAATAAATAAATAACATGACATTTATTCACATTAATTCCATTTGCCAAGTGGTGTTCCATATACTTTGTCCAGGTCTTCTTGAAGGGCATGACAATCGTCTAAGTTTCTTTTCCTTCCTATTATCTTAGCATCATCAGCAAACATGTTCATATAATTCTGTATTCCATCTGGTAGATCATTTACGTAGACAATGAACATCACTGGTGCAAGAACTGAACCCTGTGGTACTCCACTTGTGACATTTCTCCAGTCCGATACATTGCCTTTGATTATTGCCCTCATTTCTCTATCAGAAAATTTTTCCTCCATGTTAGAAGCTTACCTGTCACCCCTCCAATATTTTCCAATTTCCAGAACCTTTGATGTGGAACTCTGTCGAAAGCATTTTTTAGGTCCAGATAGATGCACTCAACCCAACCATCTCTTTCCTGTAAAATCTGTGGCTCGATCATAGAAACTGAGTAAATTCAATACACAGGATCTTCCTGAACGAAAACCATACTATCTGTCTTGATATTATATCGTTTCTCTCCAGATGTTCTACCCATTTAGTTTTTATTATTTTTTCCAATATTTTCACTATTACACTTGTCAATGATACAGGTCTATAACTGAAAGGGTCTTCCCTGCTGCCACTTTTGTAGATTGGAACTATAATAGCTTTTTCCACACGTCTGCTACGACTCCTGTACACAGCAATGCCTGAAAGATCAGGTGAAGTGGAATGCTGAGCTCAGATGCACATTCTCTCAGAACCCATGGTGAAAAACCATCTGGGCCAACTGCTTTGTTCTTACTTAGCTCCTGTAGCATATTTTCCACTTCCTCTATAAACACCTCTATATGCTCTATGTTGTTCTCTGGAATTATTGTGTCTGGTTCTCTGAAGATCTTATTTTGTACAAACACACTTTGGAACTTTTCGTTTAATGTTTCACACATTTCCTTTTCATCTTCTGTGTATCTGTCCCCCCATTTTCAACCTCTGAGTATTATCTTTTACCTGCAGCTAGCTTTTAATGATATATATCCTTGCCCTGGACTATATCCTTGCCCTGGATATAGTCCAGGGCAAGGCCTCAGATTCCATAATGCTGGAGTTTAAGTAAGAGGTAGTTGTGATTAACAGTATCAAAGGCTTTTCTCAGGTCAATGAAGAGTCCAATCGGAAACTCATTTTTGTTAAGGGCCGAGTAGATTACGTCAAGGACACTAATGATTGCATCTTTGGTGCTCTTTTGGGACCGGAAGCCAAACTGGCAGAGGCTGAGTATGTCAAGTTTTACGAGGAAGGAATAGAGCTGTTTTAGATAATTTTTTCAAATATTTTTGATAGAATAGGTAGATTTAATATTGGTCTATAATTGTTTATGTCCGCTGGATTGCCTCCTTTATGGACTGGCGTTACTCTTGCTTTTTTTAAGGATATCAGGGAAGGTGTGACACACTATAGATTTGTTGAACTGTAGGGCTATGGATGGCGCAAGGGCATGGGAGGCGCTCTTGTATACAATGGACGGAATTTCACTGGTGTTCCCTGCCTTGGTTTTTAGAGTGTATGATGGACCATAGTGGCCACCCTAACACAGAATGACAAATCATGCAGATGTTGCCACCTCCCTCACCAAAATGGCTTCTCCCAACACTTCTTTTGCTGTTATTACACAATGTATACATGTTATATATAAGTATCTACATTTGTGTTCACCATAACGAACCACTAAGTTGGTATGCCGAGTCAAAAAGCAGCAAGGAGTGGCCGGCACACCAGCCAGCCACTAGCCGCCACTCCCTCCCTCACCACACCCTCACTCGCCAACATTCTCCTCCCAGCATACTGTTTTTGCTTTTATTCACTCTATACAGATGTTATATACAAGTATCTGCACGTTTTATTCACCATAGCAAACCACTAAGCTGGTATAGTAAGTGCAGACAGCAACAGGTGGCCACACAGATTCGGCAGACAACACTACAGCCCTCTCACCCTCAACATTACTCCTCCCACAGCACAGTGCAAATTATCAACAATCCTGCTATTATCAGAATCCTGGGCATTTTTATCACAGTCAGAGGTCTTCTGTAATAATATCATTGCTAAATAATACCAGATACGTATATTTTTTACATTTTTAGGCGATGCTGTGGTCACAAGCTGAACAACAACGCTGTGCTCATGCTGCATTTGCCAGTCTTGGTGGCTCACTCAGTACTGTGGCCCTCACACCCGGGAATGTTGCCCAAGATTTTTTTTTTTAAATGGTGTCTGTTTACGAGAGCCCTGAGGAAGGTGATGTGAACCCCGTGTATCCGGGGGTCGTTTAAATCTTGCGTAGTACTCCAAAATGTCATATGACGTGATGCGCATTTTTGCGTCAATTACCCAACACGTCATATGATGTGTTGCGCAGTTTAAGGGTTAACTGACTCGGCCACGATAGTACAAAAAGTCTACCAACCCAGAACTCTTATCGAGTTCTCTGGGAGGTCTTGGAGGCCCCAACTAGAGCCAAGCCAGGGTTTTACAGTTAACCCAACCATGTTGTCTTGCATGGAATAGATTCAGACTACAGTATATAAATGTTTTGAGAACTCTCCAAAATTGGGCCAACCCTTTTTGTAATTAAATCAAGCCAGATCCCTGTCACCACTAAGCATGATTTCTCATACCAGTGGCACCAACCCATCACTACTGTTGTCGATTCCCCTTTCACTGCCGACTCCTATCACTACTGACCCCAGACACATTGTACACCACTAACCTTCGGAATGAACATGATGACAAAAATGACTGTGGCAGTTGCAACAATACCAAAGCCGAGGCATGCCGGTTGGTGAGGCATAGGAAGGATGAGGCCAACCAATGTCCAGGCCAGCCACAGCGGAAGCACCAAACCAACAGCTGCTCCTATATATGCCGCTTCCCGGTAGTTCTCACGGATCCCACGACACTTGGGGTGGACACAGAAGAAATATCATGAAAGACAAGCTGAGGTTCCATGCTATGCTTTTATATAATGCACTGCATAATGTCTAAGAAATCTGTTAATGCTTTTAGGAAGAGGTGGAGCTTATACACACACAAGAAAGTCACAATAACATGATATATCTGAGAAAATCATTGGTTCAGGACAGGGGAAGGATTCGGGTGGATCGCAAATTATTTAACTAAAATTCATTATCCAGACTAGTAGTGTCGGTGTGAGCTACACAAGTGGCGTTTCCAGTACTATAAATATACAAATATCAGTAATACAAGGGGGAGAGTGGAGTTTAAGAAAAACAAAAATCTGAGGAAGTTCTGAGAAAGGGCTGCCTAAACAAAAGCAGATGAGATTCAAAACAATAATAGTCAATGCAATGGATTCATCATTGTCCATTGAAGTGTCAATAAGTGATGAATACTTCAAGGGTTTCATTAACTCTTAAACCGCTAAGGGCTTTTTGGCCTGCAACACCGACAGGTGCAACAAAAAAAGAAAATGCCAAAAAATTCTTTTGTCTTATAAAAGTGTTCATTTGTGTTCCCTGATCACGGGTAAAATAAAAAAAAATCCTAGGCGACATATTTTGGCCGCAATAGGGCAGGGAAGTCGAACAAGAAAGAGGCGTTGACAGAGCATGCGCCAGATGAGGACAGCTGGGGCGGAGCAGACAGGCGGGAGTTGCCACAAAGATATTATTACCTAATTATTTCAATGTCTCTGCTTGATTTTTTCTTAGTTTTTTGCAGTAATATTATTCAATAGTGTGTAGTGTGATATATTTATAAAATAAAATGTGTGAACCATCGCTATACTCAAAATTATGGTGTGCATATTAGTGATTCAATTATGATGTTCATAAAACAATAAACATAGTTTTGCGGTTATTGCACCATATACACAGGTTATATATAAGTACTAGTACCTTTTCATTTTACCTGAAATATTAGATTAAGGACCTGCCCAAAATGCTATGCATGTTAGTGGCTTTACATGAATGTAAAAATACCAATCTCATGTAATCTCACCAACCTATTGTTCTTGCAAATAAATTATCATCATCATCAGTATTATTATTATTATTATTGCATTACAATGTTTTACAATCTATAATCTTACAATCTAATTTTACTATAATGCACCTATTCATATTCTTCTAATTTTTTCTCCAGTGTAATGTACATTGTAAAGCAATACAATTTCCTACAATGTAATGTACCTGTACAATGTAATGTAATGTACCTATTAATATTCTTCAAATTTTCCTACAAATTACCTACTTATAATTATCTGTTAGATTAAGAGCCTGCCCAAAATACTTTGTGTGTTAGTGGCTTTGCAAGAATGTTAAGACATAAATGTTAGGTATTCTCACAAACCCAATGTACCTTCTTGTAAATATAAATAATAGGTAAATAAAAAAAAAAAAAAAGTACTGGGAAGACAAGACACCACAAGCGTAGCTCTCATCCTGTAACTACACTTGGGTAATTACACAGACAAATATTAAACTAGGCTCAAACTTACCTTAGCAGCTAGTGCAGCAACCGCAATAATGAGCATGATGACATAAATGAGGGAGAGAAGAAAATGTCTGTAAGGTGCGACGCATGAGATTTGAATGTCTCCAGTGTCATGATCCCTCACCATAGTCACCCCTGCCGGCTGTGACCACTGCCACTGTATGTTGATGCTTACCTGCTAACACACAATAATAATAAATAATAATAATAATAATAATAATAAGTGAAGGTAATGCCCTCTCACAGACATAATAACATAGGATAAAATCTCATGCTTGTGTATTTGTGAAATTTATGTAAAGAAATTACACCAAGTCTTTTGCACTCTCCTGAGTGCTTTGTCAAAGTCCAAGTTTATAGTTAAGATGAGACTTGCATCTCAATATGACTTACATCTCAAGATCTAATCATCTTAACCACAAACAAGACACTGACAAAGCACTCAGGAGAGTGCAAAAGACTTGGTATAATTTCTGCACAATAATTTCACAAATATACAAGTATGGGTTTTTATCCTAAATAAATAAATAATAATAATAATAATAATAATAATAATAATAATAATAATAATAAATAATAATAATAATAATAATAATAATAATACAAAAAATCACACTAACATGATATACTAGAATATTAATGAGAAAATCTACTAAGGCTGTAAGGTGGCGCGAACCTACGACCAAGACATTGCCAGCCGTATACCCTACCACTGGACCATCGAAACTTGTTCAAATCATACAACTGGACTCCTACTGAAAACACGAAGTCTGGAGGCCTCTACTGAAGCCAGCCCAAGTTTTTTATATGACCCACAAGCACTCAGGTGGAAGGGCAAAGTTGTCCCTCACTTTACATCCCAACTTCAGAAACAAAATTATTCACTCTGGCCCCAGACATCACTCGGTACTCTTACTCAAATCTCTGAATATGTTAGATATTAAGTCACTGCACATCCTCTCATGTGTATTTTATATTTATAAAATGCTGAACTGTAATGTCAATCTTGACCTTAAAAGCTTCCTAGAAGATTGTAACAGAACCCATGAGCACCACACCAGAAACAAATATCTATTTGATATTCCAAGAGTACGACTAAATCAAACTAGAAATGCTTTACAAATCAAGGGACCTCGATTGTGGAATGACCTTCCCAATTATGTTAAAGACTGTACCTCTCCCAACCAGTTAAAAGAAAAAAAAAAAAAAAAAAAAAAAAAGATAAAAGATTTTTTTTAAGATAAAAACTAAGTACCACCTAATTAACTCAATGTAACCTACCTCACCCCTAAATGTCAACCCATGTCTACGATTTTAAACAATGCTGTTTGTTGACTAAATTGTATTTTTGTTTTTTTCTGCCGTGTTTCCCCCCCCCCCCCCTTTTTATTTTTATATTTTCTCGACACATTTTATACTTTAATCTCAATTAGTATTAAGTTTTAGTCTTAGTGTTTTTCCTGCCTGAAACGCTTTGCATAATAGTGGCTTTAGGCATTGTATATACTAGCTCTATCTATAAATCCATCAACTTTTGTATTTCACCTTGTACGTATGTACTCTATCTGAATAAATATTTGTATTTGTATTACAGCAAAAAACTAAGTAAAAAATCAATCAGAGACATTGAAATAATTAAGTAATTATATCTTTGTGGCAACTCCCGCCTGACAGCTGGGGCAAAGCAAAACTCCTCCAATGCTTGCTCAGTCAGCGGTTCTTTTTTGCCAGACTTCCCCGCCCAATTGCGGCCAAAATATGCCACTTACAATTTTGTTGTTATTTTTCCCGTGATCAGGGAACACAAATTAACAGGTTTATAGGAATTTTTTTTTTATGCGCCTGTGGGTGACAAAGACCAAATAGCCCTTAGCAGCTTGGGGGTTAATACAGTAAGCTGTCTGCAGTCTTATTATTTCTTATCTATTCTTATGTTTTACCGATTCTTATGTTATAAGTGAGGAGACAAAACTGACCTGCACCAGGACGATGAAAAAAAGTAGGAGACCTTGGTAGTAGGCTGGCAGGTAGACACCAGAGTTGAGGGAGATGAGGAAGACAAACTTGACGAGTAGGGCTGCGAACACCAAAGCACTCGACACCCCAACCAGTAACCTGTGCCCATCACACACCATCAGTTTACTTAGTTTGACCCGATACCCATCTTGTGGGTGCTGGTGGAAAGGTTAGTCACATAATGAGTTCAGGAATTAGATAACAATGTTCAAAAGGCAAAGCAATATACAACTAGTTACAAGCTGTCTGGTGGTGCAATGGTAACACTCATCCCGCACCTATTGAGCAATTTGGTCTTGGTTCAACTACTTAACTATCATTAGTTACCTATCAATTTAAGTCCTGGCCAGAGAGGATTGCCAATCCATAAATGTTTGCCTTTGTTCATCCAGTAGTAAATGGATACCTGATTGTTAACTGATCACTGGATTGTGTTCCATGAAAAACTACTGGGGAAAGCTTAACATGAGCAATGGGAAAGGAAAGCTCTCAGGAGTCAGTACATGGGGTAGTTTGTACAGTACTTGTATCCACAGTTGTGTAAAAAAAAAAAAAAAAAAATGCCCACACATCCACAAATCTTACTCTCAAGGGTAGTTAATGCACTCTCCTATCTACAACATTCTCCAAATTGAAGCAATCAACTCATTCTTCCCTACTAATCAGCTAAAATATAGCCAACATTTATTAGATGTAGTTAAATAGTACTATAACCCAATTGCACCTCAACTAGAGGTTGAAACCGAAATGGGATTTTTTGCCTAAAAATTCTGAACATATTTTCAAATCTTCACTTTTGACATGACATGAAACAGAAATAGATTAAATAACTGCATCATCTTTCCAACTGCTCTAAATGCAGAAAAGATTAAAAGATTTTATAAGAGATTTAATTTATATTCACCAGCCTTGGCAAGTTAAAAATATAAAAGCAGGAAGTGGTATCCTATAAGCAACTTCTGTCTTTATTGTACTAAAAATAATAAAATCTAATTTTGTGACTACTTATTACTGAAGGAATTTGATAACTATCTTCGTAATTTCCAAAGTAAACTGAGAACAATATAACTTTTTTCTTTTTCTTTTTCAGGGATATTCCTCGAAGGGCTTAGGGCCCGTGCAGGAATATCAGTTTCCACACAGGTGGAAACTGAGTACCCAAATGAGCCACAGAAACATTAGAAAGAATTTGTTCAGTGTCTGGGTAGTTAATAAATGGAATGCATTAGGCAGTGATGTGGTGGAGGCAGACTCCATACACAGTTTCAAATGTAGATATGATAGTGCCCAATAGGCTCAGGAACCTGTACACCAGGATCTTTGAGAGACTTATTGCTAGGCAAGGAAGTAAATGAGATGTATGCCAAATTTTGTAAAATATACGATGAAGGGTCCTTCATTGTATTCATCATACCAAAACAGATGCAGACCTAGGAAACAGAGTTTGTTCAACAGAAATTGCAAGGGGGCCAGAGACCAAAAGTCACAAGCATAGAATAATTATAGGGAGAGACCAAGCCCTCAAACATACCAGCGATACAAAGATGCAAGAAACAAATACACGAAAGCAAGGAGAGAGGCAGAGAGGAACTTTGAGAAGGATATAGCAGACAAATGTAAATCAGATCCAGGCCTTTTTTATAAATTCATTAAAAGCAAGCTGTAGGTAACGGATAATATTTAGAGATTGAAAATGGGAGACAAATTCATGGAAAATGAAAAGTAAATGTGTGAAACATTAAACAAAAAGTTTCAAAGTGTGTTTGTACAAAATGAAATCCTCAGAGAACCACACACACTAAGAATTCCAGGGAACGTAAATTAACAGGTATAGTGTAAGAAAATTTGAAGAAAATTAGTAGGTACATTTTAGTAAAATTTGAGGATTATCAACAGGTACATTGTAACATAATTTGAGGATTATTTCCAGGTAGATTGTAGTAAAATTTGCATTCAACATAACAACCATGATATAAGAAGATGGCAGTGATTACAACGGTGAAATTAAATGGCTTGGGCACACATTTGGTGATGATGAGCTTGAGGTAGTTTGCAGTGGTTGAGCCCAATGCACAGATACTGTACCATATGTAAGATAGGGATAGATAAGTGTGTAGTATAATGAGAGAAGAGCAGAGTGAGGAACATAAAAATATTTGATTTTAGAAAGTATACCAACCATTTGAGACTTTTTGGGCTTTGTGTTGTATGTGGGTGCTGAAGTTCAGTCTATATATGTATATGTATCAGTTCAATTATATGTATAGGCCAAGGAACTTCCCCTCATTTTTATTGCTAATGTTAACATTGTCTATCTAAAGTTGAATTTGATTTGATGATTTACTATTAAATAAAATGTAGTAGGTCTTTTCTATATTTAGTGAGAGTTTGTTGGTAGACATCCATAAGTGGACTTTTTTTTTTTAATTCATTGTTGACAATATTATTTAGTGTGTGGGGGTTGGGGTCAGAATAGATGAAGGTAGTATCGTCAGCAAATAGTATAGGTTTAATAATGTTAGAAACATTTGGCAAATCATTGATGTATATAAGAAATAGGAGAGATCCTAAGATGCTGCCCTGTGGCACTCCTACTGTCAATGGTAGAGTGGGGGAGTATATGCTATTGCTGGCTACATATTGGTGTCTGTCACTGAGATAGGAATGAAAATAGTCCAGAGCAAGGCCTTGGATACCATAGTGGCGAAGTTTAAGTAAGAGATAGTTATGGTTTACAGTATCAAAGGTCATTCTCAGGTAAATGAAGAGGCAAATTGGGAACCCATTTTTGTCAAGGGCTGTGTAAATTATATTAAGCAAACTAATGTGTGCAGATAATTTTTTCAAATATTTTTGAAAGTATAGGTAGATTTGATATTGGTCTGTAATTTTTTATGTGAGCTGTCTCGCCTCCTTTATGAACTGGCGTCACTCTTGTTTTTTTTAAGGATATCGGGAAAATATCATTAAGCATTAAGGTATCTTGGGCATCAATTTGATATTAAGCAAGATATTTAACATTTCTGCTGGTTGATCATTCACAAGTACAGGACCTAAAGTTATGAGTTCCAACAAAACTGTAACCAGCATCTTATAGTATTTCATAATGACGATGAAGCAACATGTCATAGTGTACCTTATAGCGGCGCAGGATAGTGGTGTGGGGGTGAGGACGATGGGAAGGCCTGAGAGCGAGCATAGCAGAAGGCCCACCAGCAGACACTGTCCCAGGAATAGGTGTCGTCGGGAGGGTGTTCCATGAGCCGCCCGTACCAACACATACACCTACAAGAAACCAAGCCTTCAGTAAATAAATAATAAATAAAATGTTTATTCAGGTAATGGGGGCCTCGTAGCCTGGTGGATAGCGTGCAGGACTCTTAATTCTGTGGCGCTAGTTCGATTCCCACACGAGGTAGAAACAAATGGCAAAGTTTCTTTCACCCTGAATGCCCCTGTTACCTAGCAGTAAATAGGTACCTGGGAGTTAGTCAGCTGTCACGGGCTGCTTCCGGTGTGTGTGTGTGTGTGTGTTTTTTTTTTTGGGGGGGGGGGGGAATAGTAGTAACAGTCGGTCCATCTAATTACCACAAGCTACACAAGCTTCAGAAAGCTTCCTGGCAATACGTTAGTAATGAATAAATATGATATGTTAAGTTAGGCTGACCTAACCTAACCTACCCTAACCTAACCGAAGCTTGGATCGTCTACTTTATTTGGCGTCACCAGCTTTTTATTTTCGTCTAATTTCTTTATAAAAAGATACTTTTTCAGATTAAAATTATGTTTTTTCGTGTTGTACATTCAGCACCAACATTATAATGAGTAAATATATAATATTTATTCATTACTAACGTAATGCCAGGAAGCTTTCTGAAGCTTGTGTAGCTTGTGGTAATTAGACGGACCGGGCCTACGTACGTTCATCATCGCCCTTGATGCTGATACACCCACTGAACAGAGCTTTTTTGGAAATAGTAGGCACAAAGTCTTTTCTATCAAGCCATTCACGAATTCTTTAAGATCAAGGTGCACGATTTCAGGCCGAATAAATGCAGGAACTTGATTGCAGTGGACCAAGCTTCCTCCGGGGACTTGGTGCGTTCGGACGTTACTAATATTTATGGTTACAAGGTCCATTGTTATACGCCTTTGGGTGACCATTTGGTACGATATGTGGTCCGGCATGTTGTTGAAGTTAGTGCGGACGGCATCAAGGCACAACTGCAGGATGCTGATTTTCCGATCTTTGGTGTTAAGAAATTTATGCGTCAGATTGATGGAGACCTGTGTGACACAGGCACTGCCCTCCTTACTTTTCTTGACTCTCCCCGTTCCCCCAATCGGGTTTGGATTAATGACTTCCTCCATAAATTGGATGTGTATGTACCCGTCCTACTCGGTGCTTTCGTTGTAAGGGTTTTCACCATACCTCCCTTGGCTGTACTAATGACGTCTGTTATAGCAAATGCTCTGGTTCCCATTTCACTTGTGACAAGTGAACAAAACCCCAAATCATACTCATACAGGGAAGGGGGGAGGTAAGAAAACCCCTCCCCCTGCAACAACAAGCCCTGCAAAGAGGGCACCAACATCCAAGCAGGATCAAATGGGGCCCAAGGCCCTCAGGCCGACTCCTCCCCAGCCCTGGGATCCCCCAAGTCGTGACCCGGGGCAGAGCAGTCCTCCATACCCTCTACTCCTGAAGAAAAGGCAGAGTCCAGGGAAAAGTCTGAAAAGAAGGGGGGGGCTGCTGGTGGGACCCAGAAGCCTCGGTAGGAGGAACCAGCTCGAATGCCTTCGTCCCCGACCCGAAAAGGGTTGGGTTTGCAGTCGCCAAGCGAGTACATTATTGACATAATATACTCGCTACAGCTCCAACTACTGCATTTGCCTCTGTGAGGAGGCCATGGTATGTTCAAGAGAATTGGTGTAGTTGGAATGCTCAGGTAATGAGAGGTCAGGCAAGTGCACGAAGTGATGAAACTTAATCAGCCCATCCTCCAAAAATGGGGAGGTAAATGTAACAGCACAAGTAAGTGCAATTATGTACTTTTCATAGTCAGGAATTGTACTTATTTTGACTTAGTATTAAACCGTACTATCAAATAGTCAAACAAAGGACCCAGAATGTGAAATGACCTTTCCAATCATGTCAAAAGCTGTAACTCTCAACCAGTTTAAGATAAAAACTACAAACTACCTAATAAACTCCATGTAATCTACTTTACCTCTAAATGTCAACCCATGTCTTTATTTTAAACAATGCTGTTTGTTGACCAACTTGTAAAATTGCTATTTTCAGCCATGTCCCCCCCACCATTGTTTATTTTACATTTTTTTCAACACAATTTATACTTTAAACTCAATTACTATTAAGTTTTAGTATAAGTGTTCCCGGCCCCCCTCACCTTGCCCGAAACGCTGTGTGTACTAGTGGCTTTGGGTATTGTATGTACTGTACTAGCTCTATCTTTAAATCCAACATTATGTTTGTAACTCATCTTCAACGTATGTACCTTTACCTGAATAAAAAATCTAATCTAAATAAATATATATTGTGAATATTTGAGTTTACCTGAAAGGCTGAATAGAAACCACGACCTAACCTAACCTGCTTAGTGTTTGAAGACAAGCATTTTATTGCTTCTTAATTACAATTACTACTTAACCTATAGCTATATTGATATTACAGTTTTATAAAACAAAACTAAAATATATCAATAAATTGTAAAGTAACTCAAGATATTTTAAAAAAAATTTTATAAAATAACTATTGTTTAATAAAACTGAAAAAGAAATTCCTGATATTAAAAACTTGTGTATAGCAAATTAAACTTGAAAATTTCATCCTAAAATTCTGAATGTCTTAACAGAAAATGAGGAGAATAAATGGGGAGGTAAATGTAACAGCCCCATAAGTACAATTATGTACTATGTATGACAGTAAAGAAATGTACTTATTACACTTAGTATTGAACAGTACTGTCAATTCATAGGATGGGTTGAACTTAATAAGCAATAATGTTCCTGAATGAATTTGAGAATTCGAACACAGGAGAGGAATTAAGGACCATTCGTAGCTTCTGACCTAAGTCGCCCACTGAAACTACTATAAACCTTATTAGTGTTTCAACCAATAAGGATATCCCGACTGCATGAGCAACATGACCCACCTCAAAAGCGAGGATGGCGGCGGCGTTAGTCGCTGCTGCGGCCAGGAGCGGCACCACCCACGGCGCCGACCGCAGGTATACGCCGCCCACACTGCTGGTGTTGCTGGGTGGAGTCACGCCTTCCCCGGCACCTGCACACACACACACACAAACCTCACACATATTATTACCCAATAATTATTACGAGAAAACCATTATGTCTATGTTATAGAAGATATATTAGGACATGAAAACAGTGTGAGCGAACAGTAATCAATCAATAGGATCTCTCATGGTGGGGGGTGGATAAGGTGTCTCACCTGGTGGGGGGGAGGCTATGGCTCACCTGGTGGGGGGGGGAGGCTATGGCTCACCTGGTGGGGGGGAGGCTATGGCTCACCTGGTGGGGGGGGAGGCTATGGCTCACCTGGTGGGGGGGGGAGGCTATGGCTCACCTGGTAGGGGGGGGGGAGGGTATGGCTCACCTGGTAGGGGGGGGAGGCTATGGCTCACCTGGTGGGGGGGAGAGGCTATGGCTCACCTGGTGGGGGGGGAGGCTATGGCTCACCTGGTGGGGGGGGAGGCTATGGCTCACCTGGTGGGGGGGGAGGCTATGGCTCACCTGGTGGGGGGGGAGGCTATGGCTCACCTGGTGGGGGGGGGAGGCTATGGCTCACCTGGTGGGGGGGGGAGGCTATGGCTCACCTGGTGGGGGGGGAGGCTATGGCTCACCTGGTGGGGACGTAGGGGTAGCATCAGGAAGAGAGACGTGGTGGGTAGTGAGGGAGACGCCGCCCACGATGTACCGTGTCGTCTGCTCCTCCAAGTCATCCATCCCCAGACACAGGAAGATGATAGGTGGTGTGGCAGGAGGTAGGTGGTGTGGCAGGAGGTAGGTGGTGTGGCAGGAGGTAGGTGGTGTGGCAGGAGGTCGTAGCTTTAGTACTAGCGGAGTTAAGAGGAATGTGAGATGATTCCTATGAGAGAAAAGCGCAATGGAAGAAAATAGAGTGTAAGTGAAGAAGAAGAGAAGGATATGGTAGTTAGGAAGGAAGAGAGGAGTGAGTAAGGCGGGGAGAGGTGGTTGCCATAATTGTGAGAGAGGAGGCAAGAAGGAAGGAATAATGAAGCAACAGAGGGAGCTAAGGAAGACAGAGATGGAGGGAGTGAAGATGGAAGGATAGCAAGAAAGATGTGAGGAAGGAAGAAAGGAAGTAAAGGAGGGAATGAGAAAGGAAGCCAGGAAGGGATGGAGTATTGTGGGTGAGGACGGGGGACAGGGAGGTCATCTGCTGGTCATCGTGACGTCACCTGTTGAAAGTAAACAAACTATGACGTCATCAGCGTGGCCTTCCTGTACTTACCTAGCTGTGACTACGGGAGGAGTCAGGTCTAGCTCACTTGGCCCCGCCTACTACCCTCATTTTACCTGTTGCCTTACATTCAATTATTCTGACGCTACAATTCTTTGTCGAAATTGGCCTTAAAGATATTGATAGAGATAGCTTCCATATGTTGACCAAACCACACACTACAAAGTTGCTGTTAGGACAATATCCAACTCTGGCCCCAGACATCACTCGGTACCCCTTCTCAAATCTCTGAATATGTTGGATATTAAGTCACTGCACATCCTCTCATGTGTATTATATATATATATATATATATATATATATATATATATATATATATATATATATATATATATATATATATATAAAACGCTGAACTGTAATGCCAATCCTGACCTTAAAAGCTTCACTGAAGGTTGTTACAGAACCCATGAGCACCACACCAGAAACAAATACCTTTTTGATATTCCTAGAGTACGACTTAAAGTAGAAATGCTCTACAAATCAAGGGACCCAGAATGTGGAATGACCTTCCCAATCATGTTAAAGACTGTACCTCTCTCAACCAGTTTAAGATAAAAATTAAGCACTACCTAATTAACTCCCTGTAACCTACCTTACCCCTCTATTTTCAACCCATGTCGGCTATTTATTTAAACAATGCTCTTTGTCGACCGTCCTGGACCATCCTGAAGTCGATTGTGAATCGACTTGAGAATGGTCCAGGACGGACCGAAACGTCGTCGTCCCTTCACTTTCTAGTGTGTACTCACCTAATTGTGCTTGCGGGGGTTGAGCTTTGGCTCTTTGGTCCCGCCTCTCAACTGTCAATCAACTGGTGTACAGATTCCTGAGCCTACTGGGCTCTATCATTGTCGGAAAATCCGACACCATTTAATAATCATACAGATAATAGCTGTATTACCAACAAGTTACCCATAGAAAACGTAACTTGTAGTGGAATTACCGTCTAAAGAAAACGGGATATCACCACATACTATTATAATTCACCAGCTATTCTGCTGGGAATTATTCTTAAATACATTAGTCTTTGGACTTTACCATCATAAAACATCTCATATAAATTAACTTAATTATTAATATTAAAGTAGAGTAAATGTGACCCTTCTATCACCTTTGGAAATCTGGACAATGTAAGCCAGGCGGGAGTGGGGAAGGGGGGAGCCATTGTTGTGTCACCTCCGAGACGTGTGGAGCAAATTCGGCTCCTATCATTCTGGACAATGTCGGCCAGTAACGTCAATAGTATGGAGTGTTAAACAGCCATTGTTTATATTGAGACCAGAGGCTCACATGGGAGCAAATTCGGCTCCTGTTAAATTTACTTGGACGTAGTGTTATGGAAACCAAAGGTACCATCTCCAACACGATGTCTACAATTCAAGTTAAGTCTATCCGAAACCCGTTTATCATTCATTTATGGCCATTAATGTCAGGATATAGGGTGACCCGGTTAGATCACGAAATCGCCTCAAACTAAAGGTAATTAAGCCAGGCCTTTATGTTCCATGTATAGTGTTTTCTCTGATATAGCTTGTCATATATAGAATCTGGCTTTATCAGCTAGCGCCCTTTTGACAGGTCAAGACGAGGAAGACTTTGTGCTCCAGTTACTGGGTGATGGAAGCTACCTCAAAGAGGATAATTTGGTGTCTACACCTTAGTTATACCTGGTGGACTAACCTGCTGTACTATAAGATAAGGAACCTTTTCAATGTATGTAGTTTTGTAGTTTGATTGGCTGCATATATATTAATTTATAAACCCCCCCCCCTAATGTGTAGAGGATCGATTTGTGAGATTATGAGATTATTGCAGAAATACAGTCCACTTATCATTATACAAATTGCTATCGAAGTATATAAATTAACGTAAATATAAATTCATATAAATTAAATAAATATAAATCTCACAGGTCGGTTCCCACAATCATATCTACATTTGAAACTGTGTATGGAGTCAGCCTCCACCACATCACTTCCTAGTGCATTCCATTTATTAACTACTGACACTGAAAAAATTCTTTCTAACGTCTCTGTGGCTCATCTGGGTACTAAGTTTCCACCTGTGTCCCCTTGTTCGTGTCCCACCCGTGCTGAAGAGTTTGTCTTTGTCCACCCTGTCAATTCCCCTGAGAATTTTGTAGGTGGTTATCATGTCTCCCCTTACTCTTCTGTTTTCCAGGGATGTGAGGTTCAGCTCCTTTAGCCTTTCCTCGTAGCTCAATCCTCTCAGTTCCGGGACGAGCCTGGTGGCATACCGCTGAATCTTCTCTAACTTTGTCTTGTGTTTAACTAGGTATGGACTCCAGGCTGGGGCTGCATACTCCAGGATTGGTCTTACATAAGTGGTATACAGGGTTCTGAAAGATTCCTTACACAAGTTTCACAAGTTCCACAAGTTGTGTGGTCTGGTCAACATACTTCAGCCACGTTATTGTGACTCATCGCCTGCAATTTCATACATTTATTAATTTAATCAATTTTAAATATATCGAATACTAGTCTCAACTTTAATACAGTCCTAAATCGATCAGAATTATATTGAATCGTTTAACGCACGTGTTACTCACTTGTCACGCTTTCTAAACTGAAAACCTTAATCACCATTAAGTTTGTCTGGCTCAGGGTATCCTAGATTAGTTTATGTTGGTTGGGTTGGGACAAGATGGGTTTTAATACCACAAACAATCCGTTGAAGAACCGTCTTTACGTGCGAAATGACGTGTTTAATTAAATACCTGCCACTACTTATACTTTAGGAGTCTCAAGTTACCCTCTAGGGTAAATATCGAGGGCTACCATCGAGAGTCACTGGCGCTGCTGAGTCCACGTGTAAACAGCCAGCGGCGACGTGGCTAGTGACTCAGATGAGGGTGACGGCCGTGACCTCGGAGCCAACACCTCCACCTTTGTCTGGTTCATCTTCACGGCTGGGAGGCATGTCCATTGTTACTATGAGCGGCTTATGTTAGCTGCCTTCCCTCTTACAACCTCTGTGTGCACCTCGCCCCCTATCTCCCCTCCCCAAGGAAGCCGGTCGGCCGAGCGGACAGCACACTGGGCTTGTGATCCTGTGGTCCCGGGTTCGATCCCAGGTGCCGGCGAGAAACAATGGGCAGAGTTTCTTTCACTCTATCCCCCTGTTACCTAGCAGTAAAATAGGTACCTGGGTGTTAGTCAGCTGTCACGGGCTGCTTCCTGGGGGCACCTTCCACCCTCCCTCCCCAACCCCTCACATGTAGTATGGCATGACACTCTTGATATGCTTGCTAAGACAGCCTGTAGAAAACCAGTGGTAGAAATTGATATGGGTGTTTCATTAGCAGTGACGAAGAGAATACTTATATATCTAATGAAAATCTCACCGACCTAACAAATTCACAGACCTGAAAGTTGTAGCATTAAATATTATGATAGATATCGTGAGGAGACATTCACATATGGGACTAATAGAGCAAGAACTCGGCAATGTGATGTTATAGTGGCCAGAATACGCCTGGGATATAGACGTATCTGGCAGCTTTCTCAGACCCCAAATGTAGAGTACACAATGTGTCAACTTTGTGAAGGAGAAAACACACACGTAATTGAACATTATATTGTAGACTGATTTTCGCCCTCCTGGCCTAAGGTATGCTGAACTCTGTAATTACTATACGAGTACTGGAACACTTTATATATTGGACTTGTACCCCAAGAGTGACCCTGTAATGTCAATTACATGTTACATCGCATACATTATACAATGTATGTATGTGATGTAACTATATAACCTGAGCTTGTAAAAGCACCTTAATCACCTTCAGTGGTTTAAGTGTTTAATTGCACACTAGTTTCTATCAGTTATCTCACCCTGTCAGAGTATGAGACAAATTTATGTGCGTGTGTGTGTGTGTATATATGTATGTATATATGTATATGTTTATATGTATATGTATGTGTATAAAGTATATGTGGAAGCTGATTAGAATTACATTACCCAGCTAGACACAGTTAGTATTATTTAAGAAAGCCGGTTGCTACGCGCGCACAGATTACAGGTGCATAGGGAAACCAGATTTCTGGTCCTTTCGGTAAACAGAAACGTTCCGTCGCTTGTCGAGGACTCCTAACTAAGCGAGTGGCTTGGTTAGGAGACACATCCACAGGGCCACATCGGTGTTATTAATGCTGTGTGTATATAGAGACTACATTGAGTATGCCCGGATGTTAATGGTGGTGTTGAGTGGTCAGGCGTAGCCCACACGGGACCTGCTTCGCTTCTCCCGCTACCGAAATACTTGTTTATGTTCTGCACTGAACACTTTTACTGTCAGTATTGACTGATTGATTAATCAATCATCTGATTCCGCAACATCGCCATCACTGGCACAGTAAATATATAAAATTCCCTTAAACTTTGGATTAAGTACATAAATCTCAGCTCAACTTTCCAGCAGGAAGATGAAAACCTAAAGGTAATAAGGTAATGTGGAGCAAGAGGAGAGACCATCACTAGAGGACAGCATACTCTTAGTAAGCCTTTTATCATTTTACCAAAAGTGATTCAGAAGTCCCAGTGCACTTCCCTCCGGGTCGTTAGTATACCCACCCCTACTAAACAATAGTACACGACTGTGTGTGTGTACATGTACTTAAAAATACATTTACAGACAAATTTGAACAGTACCATGGTGTATATACACCATGTTAGAACAGTACCATGTTAGTCTCTTGTGGAGAGCGAACCTGGCCCCGTATTCCTGCCCCGTGCTCACTTCCCTCACTGCTTCCTACCCCTTAAAAACCCACACTAAACTATAGATTTTTGCCACACAGTCATTTTTGGAACTGAAAATGAAAATAAATATGTGGTTAAGAAACAGTACAGCAAATACTGGAAGACATTGGAGGCAAAGCGACCAACTCCTAGGACGGTTATCTTGGGTCGTG